ACATACTATTCATGTGTAGGATGTTTAGTAAGCAACATATTTGATTACTAAGCTCTTGTTTGACATATTTTTTGTTTTTAGTTTCCTGTTTTTTTAAAAACTAAAAACCAAAAACAGAAAATAAGAAAAAGGTGTTTCCACTTTTTTGTTGCTAGTTTTCAAAATTATTATGATTCTAATAAGTTTAAATAATTCTTGGTTCATTATGTGACATATATTATATACTTTTATACAATAAAAAATTAAAAAACAGAAAACCACAGCAATGCCAAACAAACCCTAAGGTATTCGTGGCAAATTTTATTCCCTTTTGATACTAGAAAACATGATTAGTGCATAGTCCATATTCTGTCTTTGGATTATATAGGAATATTCTTTAGGCAACACAACATAAATTAGACAAATGTAACAACATACAAAATGCTATTAAACAAATTAAGAAACAAATAAATTAAGCTAAACATGTGCATCCCACGTCCTGAAATCCTGACTCGGCAAAATTGGATTTGTTAGTGTTGTTACTCCGTAAGCTAAACACCATACCACATTACCACTAACTAATGTTTCTTTCAATAATATTTTAAACAATTATAATTAGGGAATTAACTTAAATGAAAATATGAGCTTAATTAATAGATCGGATCACATTTCATGTCTCTTTCAGCCTTTATAAAATGTGGGCATGCAATTCAACTTTCTATCTACCTCTTTCAATCTGTTGCTCGTATGATCTTATTGATCTATGACTATACGTATGGCTCTTAGCCATCTATTTGTCATTTTCTTCTATCCACCACCGTCTTTGCGTACACCTACTTCGTACATGTTTTTGTTATGAAAGCCTTAACGATATCAACACCGTCTATTACTCCCTCCGTCCCCAATTATTTGCCCCAAACCATAGATTCACTTTATTAAGGCTTTGGGCAAAAAATAGTGCACATGGGTTGACACAAATATCAACGAGGATAGAGATAAAGAGAGTGCAAGTGGGAAAACATGCCAAAAATAGTATGGGGCAATTTTTTGGGTACATCCTAAAAAGGAAAGTGGAGCAAACAATTAGGAACATAGGGAGTATTATATGATAATCCTACCTTTTAAAAAATTATGAGATAACTTTTGTAAATAATGTTTGAACAATTACACTATATAAAATGTTTATTTACTTAATTGACCTCGTTAATATTAATCAACTATTTTTTTTTATAAACCTCTTAAGACTAGTGCAATTATAGCCCTAAAATATTTGTTTACATATTTTTCCTAATTAATGCTACTAATAATTTAAGTTGTGATATAAGTCTAAACTGAAAGAACTTCCCAAATATTGTAAGTTATGGTGCGTGCATCGCACACGTTAACTACCCTTCTAAAGACAAAAATGTTAACGAGTATATATACTCTTAGCCATCTATTTATCATTTTCTTCTAACCACCCTAGCATAATAAGGTACCCTGTTAAAACCAAAATCGAAACTTGTTGGTGGCTTTATGCAATATTATTTAAAAAAGTGGTTATATGCCAAAAAAAAAAAGGAAAGATTTAGAAGGTGATTATATGCAAAATTTTCTAAAAAATTATTTATCATAATTTCAAAATTTCTAATTTACTTTGATAGATTATTAGGGATCCAATTGGTAATTTTGTCACCAAGCGGGCCACCAAAATACTAGAAACGACACTGGAAAGGAGTTGTAAAAATGTATACAAACTGATATCTAGTAGGAACATGTAGAACGCGGATGTTTTCCAAAGCAACCTTTTAATGAACAAAATGAATATGCATCTCCACATGTTTGGTGCATTGTTGTTGAACCGGGTTGCTAAAAAGGTAGATAACATTGACATTATCGCAACAAACAAGAGTAGTTGACGAAGAGCAAGGACAATGTAGCTCAATTATACAAGAGATTATGAAGCCAACAAGCCACAAAGACAACATTTGTGATGTCTTGATATTTTGTTTTTGCACTCGATCTAGATAAAGTAGGATGACGCTTATATGACCAGAAAATATAATTCAAGTGGGTTGAATTAATTACAAGGAAAAAAGTCAAAATAATAATACGTATTTGAGATTTAAACGGTTAAACCTAAGCTTGTTTGTAATTTTTTGGAAGGGGGCCGGGGGTTTGTGAAGAGATGATCCCGCGGTGACCATAGCTTGGTTATATTTTGGGTTTAGCTTGAAAATTCCCTATTGACTACGGGTGATGTAGGCTATTTAATGAGAGAGGTGGTGACTGAGTGGGCTGAATAGGGGATATTACAGATATGAAATATCAGAAAATATACGTGTGATATAATTTTCGTTAATATCATTAAGAAAATAATATATTTATGTTTATTTATGTTAAAGATATTAGTTAGCCTTTAGGTTTATGGTTATGTTAGTATATCGTTTAGAAAGATTTGAAAGTGGAGAGCCACGGGTACCCTATGGATCGGAGTACTTTGCGGAAGTAGGATTTGTGGGATTTATGTTTGGGCTTGAATGTTGGGCCGCATGATTAGTATTATGATTTGATGAGTGTACCGCATGAGCAAAGGTGAATTATCAATTTATTATCATGGCCTAAGGAGTTGTATAAATTATAATCACGCAAACAAAAGGAGCTCAAGTTTTTGTAAGGAAATGATGGTTCATTAAATGTGACATGGCGGGGTGAAATAATTTAGGAAAAATATGTTTTAATTATGCTAATTATGAGCGATTTATTTCTAATAATCCAACTAAGGTTTATTTTTTAAGAATCCTAACAATAGGTCAGTTTGTCAATAGTAATCCGGATGACCGGTAACCAAATAAGCATGTAATTTTTTTTATTTTTATGTTTAATTATATGTGTTGTATTCCTATTGATCTAGAAAAAAAAGAGAAAAAGTTTAAAATCTAAAAAGTAAATAAAAAAATTAAAAAGAAAAATAAAACCCAAAACACCCGCCCCTCTCCCTTCCTCCACCGGCACCTCCACCGCTTAACACAATCTTGCTGGGCCGCCATCTCAGCCGTTGGCCCTCCTCCTTTCCTCTAAACCACCTCCTAATCTTTCAACTACAATAAACCAAATTAAGAGTGGTGACATATAACTCCCAACTCAACTTAACCCACTCGCATTTCTGCTCTCTCTCTCTCTATCTCTCTCCTCCTTCGTCATTACTTTCATCTTCATTCTCATATTATCATCTTCCTTAATTCCTTACTTCCAATGGCGTATTCCCAATATTATCATTCTCATATTTGGGAATATGTTTTACAACGGTTACTTCTTTTAAAATCGATGTTCATGCTTAAAAAAAAAAAAAAAATTTACCAACGTGTTATATAATACATGAAATTAAAGAAAGAATAAAAGAAAGATGTAGAGAGTAATCTTCATTGTCATATCTCATCTTTTTTAGGCCATGCCCGTATATATATTATATATATATACACACACACATGTGAGTAGTAAGTAGTAAACTCTCAAAGAGAGTGTAAAGTCACCATTATGTGAAGAATTAAAGAAGTAAAGACAAAAGGGATGTTACAAAGGAAGTAAAGGTCTAGGAAACTAATAAAACTAGGGAGTTACAAAGATATAATGGACATACATAACTCTATTTCATAACACTCCCCCTTGGATGTTCATTATTGAGGATCGTGCCTCGTTGAAACCTTACTAAGAAAAATCCTGTGGGATAAAACCCTAGTGAAGGAAAAAAAGTACGTACATCATTTTCGTAATACGCCTTGACATGTTGCCTCGTTAAAAACCTTACCAAAAATACTCTATGTGGGACAAAACCATGATTAAGGGAAAAAGAGTACATCGCGTATTTTCTCTCCATGATAAATGCATAACTTGAGATCTTCCAATGTAATGAATCCAATACCTTAGTAAACATGGTTTTTTTCACAACATACAAATTAAACATAACTCATGAAAATATGAACTCAAGTCTGGTCGGGTCCATAAAAGATTTTGTGTTCTAGAAAAAACTATAAACAAAACCCAAAGAGGACCACTTCCATGTTTCTATCCACCTTCTTAGATCCCGAAATTCAGTGGCGATCCCAGGAATTTGCTCTTATGGGTTCGGAATTTTCAAACGTATACAATGATATCTAGTATCATAATTAAAAATAAAATTTAAATTGATAAATTGGGTATGCACAATACATGTCGATTTGAGGTATTGGAGGTTCATTTACACTATGTTTAGATAACAAATTAGAAGGGAAAAGAAAGGGAGGGAAATAGGAGGAAGGGGAAGGAAGGAAAAGTGGAGGAATGATGAGCTCCATTTTCCCTCCAAATCTCTCCAATTTTGAAGGGATGATCTTTATTAAAGGAAGAGGGAAAATGGATCCCTCCCCCCCCCCCCCCTTTCCCTCCCTCAACATATTATCCAAACAATGAAGTTTGTCTCCCTCCCTTTCCCTTCCCTTCCTTTCCTTCCATTTTTTGTTATCCAAATATAGCCAAATAAAAAAATCTTATAATTTTAACAAATAATATTTTCAAAAATACTCTAAACCTTTTATCTACGAAAAAAAAAAAGAACAAAGTAAAAGCCAAATAAGGAAGAAACAATATAGAAAGACAAAAATTAAAAATAAGAAAGACATACAGCGTCGCACCCGCGACCTTTCATTTGATCAGTAGGTTTCTTACCGCTGGCCGCATGCGAAGTTCAACTAATATGTAAGCAATTTATATTATTTATACAAATTTTATATTAGAGAAATCTAGTCAGATATTTCAGAATCTAGTATGGGTTCAGCTGAACCCACTGAACCCATACTGGAATCGCCACTGCTAAAATCCGGAATTTCTTTGTTGGAAAAAAATAATCGCGTAGAATAAATGGAAGCCAGGAAGAAACGTTCAAAATTCAACCAACCAACCAACCAAATACCTCTCTATCAACACCATCATCTTCTACATTATGATCATTTACCGAATATAGAATTTTCTTTCAATTAAAAGTACTTCCATTATTTGGTCTTTTACTCAAACCATAGACTTCTCTAACAATACTAGTAATTTCTGTATTGAAATATATAGTCATGTCATATTCAAATTCATGAAGACTTTTAAAAAAAATAAAAAATTTAGAATTAATTTATTATAAAATATTAAATAATTTTATGATTAAAGTTGTGCATTGATGTACATAAAACTATAGAAAAATATAACAAAAACAGATAAAAACCTGAGAAGTAGATGAACCGCTGCTTTAGGCTTAGGAGGTTTCCCGTTATCTCTAAGAATGGGAAACCAGTTGTCGATCACCTCACCTGAAATAATCAGCGAAGCCAGGACGGTAGCGGCCCGATCATGTCAGCCCCAAGGACATCATTATATTGAGATATGATAGAATATTTAGTTTGATATGATAATATTTCGATATTCTATTTTAGTTAATTTCCGAAGATCCTAAGTTATCTTATGATACTAGGATTAGGACTTGTATTGGCTATATATTTCCCAAGGTGATTAATGAGAAGGCAAGCAATATCTTTCTATTTCTTCATGGTATCAAGAGCAAGGATTTTCTTTTGATTTTTTTTTTTCTAAACCACCATGCCTGGTGACGATGTACCACCACCGCCACCACCAACGACCAAAATAGAACCCAATTCACCATATTTTCTAGGACCTCAAGATAGGCCTGGCGATTATATTACTCCGACTCATCTCAAAGGGGACAACTATGATGAATGGGCAGCCGATATTCAGACTGCCTTAGAAGCCAGACGCAAATTTGAGTTTCTTGACGATACGATTACAGTGCTGGAATCTCCCTGTACCAAGTCCGATTGGACTGCCATAAATGCAATGTTGATTTCTTGGTTTTCAAATACAATTGATCTTGAAATTAAATCATCTCTTTCAAAATTCAGAGAAGTCAAACCATTTTGGGATCACCTCCGCAAACGCTTCGCTCAGACTAATGGGCCTCGAATTCAGCAACTCCGTTCATCTCTCGCAAGGTGTGAACAAACTAAAACCATGGTTGTCTCTGTATACTATGGGAAATTACATGCTTTGTGGCATGAATTGGATCATCACGAACCCCTTATTTCGTGTACTTGTTGTTCCTCGTGTACGGCGGGTCGACTCCATGAACAAAGGCGTGATCAGTCTCGTTTACATGATTTCTTGATGGGATTGTACTCGGGTTTCTATTCTTATCTTCGCTCGAACATTCTGTCACAAGATCCCTTACCAAGTCTGGATAGGGCGTATCAATTGGCGGTTCAAGAAGAGCGCGTTCACAACGCTAGGCAGGACACCGAAGCCAAACCACCTGATGCTCTCGGCTTTGCTGTTCGTGCTAACAGTGGGCGTGGTTCTGTTTGCTCTCATTATAAGAAACAGGGGCATGAGGTATCTAATTGTTGGTTTCGTTCTCCATGCCCTCACTTCAAGAAGAAGGGGCACGACCCTAATAATTGCTTCGAAATTGTGGGCTATCCTGCGGGCTGGAATGCAGGGTCGAAAGATTCTACTACAGTGCAGCAGAGTAAGGGGGGGGGGGGCACGTGCTCATGCTACGGCTGCAGGGGACTCCCATAACACTCCTAATACTGCCGCACAATCCTCCTCCACTAAAGCTTTCACTGTCGAACAATGGAAGGTGCTTTTGGGATTTTTGGGTAATGCTAATATTCCTGACAACCGTCTAAATGGTAAGTTTGATGCCTCTTGTTGGATCATTGATACCGGAGCAACTCATCACGTTACCAGTAACTCATCTTGGTTATTTGACACTCGTAACATTGAGTGTCCTGTTGGTTTGCCCAATGGTGAAAGTGTGCTCGCCACTTTGGAAGGCTCGGTCCGATTGTCCGATAAAATTACTATCACTGGAGTTCTTTTTGTGCCTAGTCTCAATTGCAATTTAATTTCTGTTACGTTACTCAGTGATCAATTAAATGTTGTTGTCCAATTTAACTCATATATGTGTGCTATACAGGACCGTCTGAAGGAGCTGATTGGAACGGGTCTTAGGCGAGATGGACTATATTATTTCTTTAGTAAACCGGATGTGGTGCAACGTGTGTCTGTGGTTGAAGCGTCGTCAGAATTGGAGCTTTGGCATAGAAGAATAGGGCATCCGTCGGAAAAAGTAGTTAAGTTGCTTCCGCATATTAGCAATAATAAGAGTAGTTTAAATAAAAGTTGTGAAGTATGTTTTCGTGCTAAGCATCCTAGAGACAAATTTCCTTTGAGTGACAATAAATATTCTGGAAATTTTGAGAAAATATATTGTGATTTATGGGGTCCATATAGACATGTTTTGTCGTGTGGAGCTCGTTATTTTTTGACTATTGTTGATGATTATTCGAGAGCTGTTTGGATTTATTTGTTAATTGATAAAACTGAGGTGTTTCAAATGTTTATGGCCTTTGTTGCTATGGTTGAAAGACAATTTAATCAAACAATTAAATTTGTTGAAAGTGATAATGGAACCGAATTTAATTGCTTGATTGATTTTATTTGTTGCTACTGGTATTATTTTTCAAACCTCTTGTGTCGGAACCCCTCAACAAAATGGGAGAGTAGAACGAAAACATAAACACATTCTTAATGTTGGGAGAGCCTTGAGATTTCAAGCCAAATTACCTATATATTTTTGGGGTGAATGTGTTTTGGTCGCCGCTCATTTAATTAACCGTACCCCGACACCTCTCTTACACAACAAAACTCCTTTTGAACTCCTATTCAATAAACCTCCTTCGTTCGATGCTATTCGTACCTTTGGATGTTTGTGTTTTGCTCATAATAAAAAAACTAAGGGGGATAAGTTTTCTAGTCGGAGTTGAAAATGTGTATTTTTGGGGTATCCTTTTGGGAAGAAGGGGTGGAGATTATATGATCTTGAGAGTAAAGAATTTTTTGTTTCTCGTGAAGTGAAATTTGTGGAAGATATTTTTCCGTTTGGGTGTCAGGAGGAAATTAATATTGATGTGGGTATGCATGATATGTCAGAAGATGTGCATATTGATTTTGCGGGGTCATATGAGGATGTTGAAAGTGGGACAATTTTTTAGCCTCTTGGGGAGGAGTCTACGGCAGGGGGGGCACCCAGCCAACTGCCACAGGTACACCGAGCAGCCCCCAGCATTCCAGCTCTGCCCAACCCGCTGGAAATGCTGCGGACGCTGCCTCGGCACTGCAGGACAGCAGCAGTCGTGCCACACAGCACGCTGCCAGCCCAACACCCCGCAGCAACACACTGTGGGACAGCAGCCACCCACAAATGCCACGGACCAGCAGCCTGATATGGGCCGTGGGTTTAGGGAAAAACATCATTCGGTCTTGCTTCGTGATTATGTCACTCATTCGGTTTTTGCTAATAGTCCATCCCCGTCTTCCAATCAGTCTCCAGGTACTCCTTATCCTTTAGCACATTATATACATTGTGACAAATTTTTTGTGAATTATCGGAAGTTTATTTCAGCTGTTGTTCAGACTAAGGATCCGACAACTTTCAAAGAAGATATGCAATTTGAAGGATGGCGTAATTCCATGAATGAAGAAATTCGAACTTTAGAGAACAATGTTACTTGGACTTTAGAGCCTTTTCCCCCTGGAAAAAAGGCTCTAGGGTGTCAATGGGTCTATAAGACCAAGTTTCTTTCTAATGGTGAAGTTGAGCGCCTCAAATCTCGTTTGGTGGTATACGGGAATCATCAGAAAGAAGGTGTAGATTATGATGAGACATTTGCTCCGATTGTTAAGATGACAACGGTTCGTACTGTTCTTGCTATTGCGGCCGCCAAGAATTGGGAAATTCACCAAATGGACGTCCACTATGCTTTTCTTCATGGCGACTTGGATGAGGAGGTATACATGAGATTACCACCCGATTTTCAGAGCTCGGATCCTACATTGGTTTGCAGATTGAGGAAGTCACTATATGGTTTGAAGCAAGCACCTCAATGTTGGTTTGCGAAACTTACCGTGGCCTTGAAACAGTATGGTGTCAAACAATCTTACTTTGATTATTCTTTATTCACTCATACTACTCGTGATACTCAGAGTACTGTTTTAGTGTGTGTTGATGATTTGATTATTTCTGGGAATGATTCCGCTGCATTGACTGTTTTTAAGGCCTATTTGTGTGACTGTTTTAAGATGAAGGATCTAGGTCCTTTAAAATATTTTTTGGGGATTGAAGTGGATCGTAGCTCTGTAGGTTTATTCTTATGTCAGAGAAAATATACTTTGGATATTATTTCTGAGATAGGTTTATTAGGTGTGAAGCCTAGAGGTTTTCCCATGGAGCAAAATCACAAACTAGGATTGGCAACATGCGATTTTCTTAGTGATCCATAGTCTTATAGATGGCTTGTTGGTCGTCTGATCTATCTTAATGTCACACGCCCTGATTTGGCATATTCAGTTCATATTTTGTCTCAGTTTTTGCAGCAACCTCGTAGTGAACATTAGGATGCTGCAATGAGGGTGGTTTGATACTTAAAAGGGTCTCCCGGACAAGGTATTTTATTGAGCTCTGATTGTGATTTAAATCTGCAGGGTTGGCGTGATTCAGATTGGGTTGCTTGCCCTCTAACTCGTTGTTCTTTATCTGGTTGGCTTGTTTTCCTTGGAAAATCTCCAATTTCATGGAAAACTAAAAAGCAATCTACTGTTTCTTTCTCTTCTTTGGAGGCCGAATATAGGTCCATGTCTTCGTGCTCTAAAGAGCTAAAATGGGTGAAGGCTTTGTTGTTGAGTCTTGAAGTACAACATCCGAAGGCAATTAAGTTATTTTGTGATAATAAAGCAGCTCTGCACATTGCAAAGAATCCGGTTTTTCATGAACGGACAAAGCACATTGAGATTGATTGTCACTTTGTTCGTGATGCAATTACAGAGGGGTGGATTTCTACATCTCATGTTCCGACATCTTCACAGCTTGCAGATATTTTTACAAAAGCTCTTTGTAAAGCACAATTTGATTATCTTCTTTCCAAGTTGGGCACTTACGATCCGAGCGCTCCAACTTGAAGGGGGGTATTGAGATATGATAGAATATTTAGTTTGATATGATAATATTTCGATATTCTATTTTAGTTAAATGATTATATATTTCCCAAGGTGATTAATGAGAAGGCAAGCAATATCTTTCTATTTCTTCACATTATCTTTGATCTTAAAATCAATATCAAACACAACATAAGCTAAGCGGATACTAAAATGCTCCTCCCATTTCCGGGTTTGCGAGTTCGATATCACACGGGTACGTGCCACCGTTGCCCCTCCTATATTAACTGTTATGTACGGGTCGCTCATGATGATATTATTATTCTTGAAATGAAGTTTATGATCAGGATCGTTGTTTTTCTCCTCAAATGATACTTTCCTCCTCCTAGAGAAAGGAGCGCGACACGAGGAAAATACTCGACAAAAGTTCTCGGAGAAGAGGTCCATGTTGGGAAGACAACGCGCTTCAATAATGTGGAGGTCGAGATCACCGTGAAGGTAGATCCCATGATTATTACTTTCTTTGTTTGTTCTCCATTAAAATGTGAATTATGTAATATAATGTTATTTAATTTTAGGATCTTTTATCAAAATGGCTAATTTGACAAAAGTATTTACTAAAACAGCTAATTATAAAATTTGATTCCCAAACTAGCTAAATTTATTGATTTGAAAGGATAATATTTATTTTTTATATTCCTTTGAACCCGTTCAGTTCACTTTATTCTTTTTTTTGGTTTTATTTAAAAAGAATTAGTTTTTTTTTTTTTAAATTTTGGTTTTATTTAAATTTTAAGGCCATAGTTTAAAATATCCCATTAATTTGAACAATAACAATCAACATAATATATATGCAGCAGTTCTCAATTTTTTTAAAAAGTTACACCACATAATCAACCACTCAAAAAAATGATCCAAACTTCTAATGAACAAAAGGAAAAAAAAAAATACAACTATTCATACTAGCCGACACTAACAAAGAGTATACAACTAATAGACATGAAAAGATGAACAATACCTTAAAATCTCTTATCGTCGTATAAATTTGCGGCAGTCTTGATAGAACAATACTACTTGAAATTCTAAATTTTTGTGATTGATACAGATGAAAAATTAGTGTTTTTAATATTTTTTATTTCGAAATTAGGGTTCTGCGAGTTTGCGAATGTTTACGTTGTTCGTAGTTTTGTATATTGCTTAAATTTTCCAACTTACACAAATCTTTAAGTAAATAAAAATAAAACAAAAAAAACAAAGTTAAAAAAAAATGTGAACCAAATCGGTTCAAAGGAAATAAGAAATAGATAGATTCCTTCCAAGTTAATAAATTAGCTAGTTTGGGAATTAAAATTTATAATTAGCCGTCTTGGTAAATACTTTTGTCAAACTAGCCGTTTTGGTAAAAGATCCTTAATTTTAGGAAATGTAAAGAGGATCTTACCAGTTAATGAAGGGGATGTTGACGGTTACATGTAAGCAAGGAAGTGCGGGTCAACGGTTCCCGGCAAAAATGTTCGCCGGTAACCGGTGATTGCCGGCTAATGTATGGAAGAAGAGAAGTAAATTTAATTTGAAAGGAAGAAAAAATAAAATAAAAATAATGTTGATGGTGTTTGATAATTGGGTATAGGAGGCGTATGTTGAGATATACGTGGGGAAGAGAGAGAAAAGTTGTTAAAATGACTGAGTTTAAAGGTTTAACTAGCCTTCTGGTCCGTACAATGCACGGGTTATTCATATAAAATTGTATTCAGAGATAAGTGAGGAAATATCAGTAAGTCATTATAGGCTATAATATGTAATCGGAAAAATTGTATTGTAAGATAAGTGAGGAAATATCAGTAAGTCATTATAGGGTATAATATGTAATCAGAAACATGATTAAAGAAATTAAAATTTTGGATGTTTAAAGGCAAAAGAGGCTTAAATAGAAGGTGGAAGGGCTAAAATTAAAGAGTGAATAGGAAAAGGTTGAATTAAAGAGGAGAGATGAAGTGTATATGAAAGATGAAGTATAATTTTAATGAAAGAATTAAAAAAAATGGTGTAATAAAAAATTAATAGTGTAAGATGACATGTGGCACTATGGTTAGAGAAGTGTAATAGAATGGATGGGGACATGTGTCTTTCTTAGTTACTAAGTTATAGTTTTTAAATACTAAATATAGATTAGGTGAGTGTTTTATTCTGTTTAATGTTGTGCATATATATGATGCGGCTGTTTTTGGAGAAATGGTCCAAATAATTGGTAAGATTTATCGAAGAGGAGGATCTTCGTTGAGACTCATAGGAGTATGGCTAGATTCTTGTGTTAAGGGCCTATTCTAATTTACTGAACTGAACTGAATATTTTATAAGAGAAGGAATTAGAAACTGAACTGAACAGAA